CTACACTACTACACTACTACACTACTACACTACTACACTACTACACTACTACACTACTACACTACTACACTACTACACTACTACACTACTACACTACTACACTACTACACTACTACACTACTACACTACTACACTACTACACTACTACACTACTACACTACTACACTACTACACTACTACACTACTACACTACTACACTACTACACTACTACACTACTACACTACTACACTACTACACTACTACACTACTACACTACTACACTACTACACTACTACACTACTACACTACTACACTACTACACTACTACACTACTACACTACTACACTACTACACTACTACACTACTACACTACTGCTACACTACTGCTACACTACTGCTACACTACTGCTACACTACTGCTACACTACTGCTACACTACTGCTACACTACTGCTACACTACTGCTACACTACTGCTACACTACTGCTACACTACTGCTACACTACTGCTACACTACTGCTACACTACTGCTACACTACTGCTACACTACTGCTACACTACTGCTACACTACTGCTACACTACTGCTACACTACTGCTACACTACTGCTACACTACTGCTACACTACTGCTACACTACTGCTACACTACTGCTACACTACTGCTACACTACTGCTACACTACTGCTACACTACTGCTACACTACTGCTACACTACTGCTACACTACTGCTACACTACTGCTACACTACTGCTACACTACTGCTACACTACTGCTACACTGCTACACTGCTACACTGCTACACTACTGCTACACTGCTACACTGCTACACTGCTACACTGCTACACTGCTACACTGCTACACTGCTACACTGCTACACTGCTACACTGCTACACTGCTACACTGCTACACTGCTACACTGCTACACTGCTACACTGCTACACTGCTACACTACTACACTGCTACACTGCTACACTGCTACACTGCTACACTGCTACACTGCTACACTGCTACACTGTTACTACACTCCCTTTACACTTAGACTTAGACTACACCCGTACTACACCTTTACTTCATCCTTACTACGCCCTTACTATACAGCTACTTCACCCTTACTACATTTTTACTTCATCCTTACTACACGCCCTCTTACCACCACATTCACACTGACCCTGCCACTTGTCCGGTACTTGTCCGGTACTTGTCCGGTACTGTGTCCGGGACTGTCCGGTACTTGTCCGGTACTTGTCTGGTACTGTGTCCGGGACTGTCCGGTACTTGTCCGGTACCGTGAGCCCACATTTCACCGCATACTCAACATGACGATCTGCTCTAAACCTACTTATGGTTATTAATATACATTTTCCTGTAGTTTCCTGGGTATTTAGGAAGTGGGTTTCGGGGAATTTGGACGGGAATGTGGGTTGGTTCAAGGTGTGTTGGTCTAATCATAGCCGCCTCTTTAATACATATTTGATAAACTTAACATAAGATCGAAATCGGAAGCCGTTTGATTTTCCATAATGACTCATTGTGTGTATAAATAACCATTTTACTATCGCCATTAATTGAGTGCTAAGTGTGGTGGGAGATACCGACCATCTTGACCAGTGCCGGATAGGAGTACATTCTGCAGAAAATAGCTCTTTACCAGGAAGCTGCTGATTTGTTGAATGATAATCAAGGTCCTTCAAGAAGGAGGTTCGCTCAGCAAAAAGCAAATACTTGGCAAGTAGTGGACACATTAAAAACTCGTAATATTTATAGACGTTTAGACAGGTGTATAAGAACGTACAGCAGGGTAAGTAGAATTTACAAAAGCGCTAAACCATATTCAACTTGACAAGCTACACCTAAATATTGTCGTAATACTAATTAACGCCACCGGTAGAATTGATAGCTCTTTACTTGAACCTGAGTAATAATAGTAGTTATACTAGTAAAATACAGCTATATTGCGTGTGTGGTTTAGTAAGGCTCCCAATAATAGTATTATTAATGTGTGTTAAGACATATTGCATTATACAGTCAAGAGTATGAATTAGCTCTGAAATATAAATTTCGCCTAATAGTCGATAACATCAAATTGCACAACTTATTATCGTCGATTTGTGACTCGTTGTGTGGGGTTTGGAATGGGAGTGTGAGTCCGGCACATTTCCCCCAAACCGCACCTGCACTGCTTAGTTGGTGTGAGGTCATACTGGTGTGTTTTATCACGTCATCAAGTTGCGCCCTGCTTCTATAATATTAGTATTGCGTCATCAAGTTGCGCCCTGCTTCTATAATATTAATATTACGTCATCAAGTTGCGCCCTGCTCCTATAATATTAGTATTACGTCATCGAGTTCCGCCCTGCTTCTATAATATTAGTATTACGTCATCAAGTTGCGCCCTGCTTCTATATAATATTAGTATTTTTTTACAAGTAGTCTATTCGTGGCGGATGACATCATTATCTTCTGGCTTTTGTTTAATTTAATTTTCAATTTGCCACACTTATATTCTTATAGACATAGTTAAATCGTTAGGTGAACTTATTGGCTATCTGTCGAAGCAAACTTGTGCTCCAAATGTACACTACCCTACTAAATATGCTCCAATTAGTTTAATTATAGTTTAATGTTCTTCCCAAAAGTGTGCTTCGACTGATAAACAAGTTGCCTGTAGGGCAACGCGACTTTTGTCCGATAGCGAATCTTGTCCAAATCAGGTGATCGAAAAAACGACTGTAGTCTTAATTTGAATTGAACCGAATATGAATATTCAATGGTGAATTGGAAAAATGAACTAAATTGTTACTTGCTAATCGCTACTTCTCTAAGTTCGAATCACAAGATCGTGGCATCCACTATCGCCTCACTTGTAAAGCTCTATCTTGTACACAGAGCTAAAACAAAACCCATGCGTCAACGAAGCGAGAAAGTTATGAGAAAATATACACTAACATAATTGAATTCAGGATCAATGTTGCAGAGTAGAAGAACTAAAGTGATCCAACTACAAAACTGAAATCACTAGCACTAATGAAAGTGGTCAATGACACTGCTGCTGATATTGTTGGGAGCCGAACACTGCCAATATGCGGTCTCGTTCCTTCGTTTGGAAGTAATTCAGGGCAGGGTTCTCCGAGCCTTGGTTACCTGTCGATTGCGATAACTGAACTTCATATTGTCATCCTATATGCAAGGTAAGCTGTGAGGTGATCGGCCGCTTGTTGCAGCTTGTCAGTGTACGATTAGCACTATCTCAGGACAGTAGACACAGCGTCACAAGATAACCAGTAAGCTAGTGAAATAAAACTTTTATCCGAAATTCGGACAACATGAGTCGCCAATTAAGACTCTTGTCCGACAGCGGCTGGTGTCCGAAAGGTACACGTACTGTTATTCTACTGTACTTCGACACGTACCTTAGATCAACACGCACCCTAGTTCGACAAACTCTAAAGTTCAACTCTGTTGAATTGGAATACGCTACCTGGACTTTATAATACTTTGAACTAGTTTTACACGTACTGAAGTTCGACAAGAGAACTGCGATTGGGTGAAAGGGATATTTTGTATTCATAAACATTGATAAAGATACATAGGAGAGTTAGAATTAACCCAAATATCAGGGACACGAATGACTACTCCAGGATTTAAAAAACTAAACTTTCAACACTGAAAACATTCAGATTCTTGCCAAATATATTTCGATTATATTTGTAGTCATCTCCAGTGACATTGAACCTAAAAAATGTTAAAAGGTTAGTGAAACTCAAGCCGTTACAAAATTAAGAATCCGAAAAAGGTAATAAATATAAAAAGATAAAAAAGATAAAGATACATTTTTTAATTTATTTCAGATTTCGATTCAGTTTTTTCATTGACAAATTTTGAGTCAAGTCACATACGAAATTTGATAATTTTTAATAGATACAGATAATATTGTAAAAATAATTGACACTAAATTCAACTAGCAACATCCCACATTTGGTTGATCTTCCAGTCTGTCAGGTCTTGCTCCTTCTTCAGGACATCGATGAAGCGCCAAATAGTAAGATTCCACATCTATGGGGTGAAGAGGTAGAGTCAGTGCCAATCTTTCCGTTTACTCACACTAAGCACTGCTTAGCAGTGTTATAGCCGGAGTTCTTAGCTTAGATGGCAAGTACGTATACGGTACAGGGCTTTAATTACGTACGGTACAGCTACTTTTAAAGGTACGTACTGTACAGGCACTGTAAGGTACCATTTTTTGTCAAATTTTTAGAATCAACTTCTGTGAATTACTTGCAATTTTTGATTAGTATTATCATCATAATTTTTGAGATAGAAGTCGAAAATAAACACAGTGGTTAAAACAATAAAAGATTTAAGAGGAAAATTTGTGTACCGGATCGCTCTTAACCGGTACTACACTACTACAACTTGTAATTATCGTTAAACTCAAAGCTTCATCCTTTTGTTGCAGTATACGAACACCAGCTTTTCAGCTAGCTCAGGTCGCAACCTTAATCTACGCTTGTCCATAATATACTCATAATCTCTAAAATTGGTCTCATAAATTGATTTGTACCTTTCAGCCTACTTTATTAAGTACGTACCGTACAGCTAATTTAAAGGTACGTACCGTACGAACTTCACGTCTTAGGTTCTCAGCAGGAGTAGTAGGTGAGAATAGGGTTTAGTGCTCAGGACAGTGGATAAAGTCTATATAAAAACAAATTAATTTTGGATTCGGGCAAAAGTCGCTGTCAAACAAGAATCACCCATTCATCCAGGCAGATTGGGAATTGTTTTTAATCAGAAAGTTGTTTATATTAACCTTTGTTTTTTATTAACTTTTGTTGTTTTTTATTAACTTTCGTTGTTTTTATTAAATTTTGTTGTTTTTAGCAACCTTAGTTGTTTATAATTAACTTTTTTTGTTTTTTTATTACCAAAAGCGTTTTTTTTGGAGTTTTTTTCTCGAGAACAATCATAGTGATTAAAAATAGCGACTTCAAATTAATACATCGATAAACAATACACAGATAACTAATTTAATCAGATAGCGCAGTAAAATAGGAGTAAAAGCTATAATGCTATGTGTTGAACAAAAAACGGTCCATCCCATCAAATGTGTTTTCTTGTACGGATGACTGAAAGTTCAAGTACTGAAAGTTCAATCCTCACACACGGAACAATTAATCTGCTTTGTCAGGAAAGCTATACAGTTCTAAGGACATCACAAATTGCTATGAATTAAGTATTAGTCAAAGCTTTCCAAAATAAAAAGCTCTACTCACCAATGATGCTATTCAACAGAGAAAAGTTTCTAAAGTAATTCTATAAATATTCTAATATAGGAAACGTGCTACATTTTGATTATGAGTAAAAATGTCTGCCACAAATCTTGACTGAGCCTGCACAAAATATTCATTAATCCTTAAGATAACATAAAATATATATACACATTTTATGTACAACGGAACAAATATCGTGTCTCTCAGTGGTCCTCCAAGACAGCGTTGAAATGGCACCTGGTAGTACCCTGAGTAACAGCGCATGAGCTCTCCGTCCCATTCATCACCACACTAGCTGGTCCCATGGAGCTGCTCAGTCCGGGGGACTTGTGAGGGGTGTGGTGGGGCAGACCCAGACACCGCTGGATCTTTATCAGGTACACCGCTCGGAAGTTCTTGTTCAGCAGCCCGTAGAGGATGGGGTTGATGCTGGAGTTGGCGATTAGGAGCCAGATCACTGAGAAGGCTAACTTCTGGCTTTTTGGTATGTTGACATTTGCACTCAGTAGGATACCAATGAGGAACACTGGGAATACACACACCTGGAGAGAGAGTGTGTTAGTTTAGTTGCAGTTAGTCACGTGACAAGTGCAGTTAGTCACGTGACACGTGCAGTTAGTCACGTGACACGTGCAGTTAGTCACGTGACACGTGCAGTTAGTCACGTGACATTTGCACTCAGTAGGATACCAATGAGGAACACTGGGAATACACACACCTGGAGAGAGAGTGTGTTAGTTTAGTTGCAGTTAGTCACGTGACACGTGCAGTTAGTCACGTGACACGTGCAGTTAGTCACGTGACACGTGCAGTTAGTCACGTGACACGTGCAGTTAGTCACGTGACATTTGCACTCAGTAGGATACCAATGAGGAACACTGGGAATACACACACCTGGAGAGAGAGTGTGTTAGTTTAGTTGCAGTTAGTCACGTGACACGTGCAGTTAGTCAAGTGACACGTGCAGTTAGTCACGTGACACGTGCAGTTAGTCACGTGACACGTGCAGTTAGTCACGTGACACGTGCAGTTAGTCACGTGACACGTGCAGTTAGTCAAGTGACAAGTGCAGTTAGTCACGTGACACGTGCAGTTAGTTACGTGACAAGTGCAGTTAGTCACGTGACACGTGCACTCAGTAGGATACCAATGAGGAACACTGGGAATACACACACCTGGAGAGAGGACACTTTTTAAGAAACTTTCTCTAGATGTTTATTGTATTTCCTATTTTATGTCAAGTTATGGATGCAGATTGTGGCGGAGAGGTGAATCATGTTTTTTACACGCCACAACAATTTACCTATCAGCTTCCACTATTTACTAATCAAACCCCAGAATAACTGTCACGTGTCAACAGCAAATGCCTCACTTCTCCATTAGAATCCATATCTATTACTTTTTGTAATACCTAGTTATGTGTGTGGTGAGAATAGCGAATTACTATTAGTAGTTAAAAGTTTTGTTAAATATTTATAATGTTATGACAATGTCAGATATGCACTATGTTGCTTGTTATAACTTAATATTTCTATAACGTTAGTCAGTACTTTAGTACTCATTACTGTTAGATAAAAGTTCTAAACAATGCATATCGATAGTTAAAAAACAACGCCCAAGTCTAATGTTTCGCTAAAACAAATAAATTGATAGTCTGTACTTATATCTTAACATATAAAAGTCTGTACTTATATTATAATAAAATGTAATAAAATAAATGCGAAATGGCAGAAATAATATACACTTACTGCGAATATGATGATGATAAGGAGTATAATCTTGGCTGTCCTCAAATTTCCTCGGTGTCTCTTGGACTTTGTCAAGGCTCCGGATCCTCCCATCGAGCTCTTGAGAATGAAGTAATAAGTGGGGAATATGATGAGGATGGGAATTGGAAAAGTAGCTGAAACGTAGAACTTGAAGTAGGAGGAACCAAGTCCGCTTGCACAGGTGTAGGATGCTTCAGAGAAACTGTACTCGCTCCACCCAAAGAAAGGAGGGATTGATACGCTCACACTCCAAACCTTTAAATAATTTCATCATTCAGTTCATTAAGAAGGTTTGAATTTGCTCTATTTTCTTTGATCAGAAGCATGATAAAAGTTGTATATTCTACCTGCAGCCATTGCTAGGTTTTCAGAGCCGAGTGGTTAAGATTTCACTTACCCAGATGGCGATGATGCAGGCCCAGCACCTCTTCCTTGTCATGATGTCTGGATACTTCACAGCATGGCACACCAGGAAATATCTATCAACACTGCAAGATCACTGTTATCTAAATCTTACATCTTACAGTTAAACAGTTAGTCACGTGATACGTGCAGTTAGTCACGTGGCACGTGCAATTAGTCACGTGGCACGTGCAATTAGTCACGTGACACGTGCAATTAGTCACGTGGCACGTGTAGTTAGTCATGTGACACGTGTAGTTAGTCACGTGACACATGCAAGAACTCAGTTCCAGTTTGCAACTTCAATATTTAACAATTGCCACGTGGTTATACTGATGGTTTATAAAACACGAGAAAGTGATATTTGTCATGCTGATAAAAGACTGGTAATTTTTCCATCCTATAGCCCCCCCCCCCCATTCTATACCCCCTCCTCCTCCGTACGCCACTTCACTACTACCTATTATGTACTTATGTAGGAATTACTCCCTAGACCCTCTATGCTAGCTTATGTGATCTGTTAAAGATCCCCTCAAACACTAACCTGGTCATGCCGAGGGTGACCATCCCAGCGCATATGGTCATCTGATCGATAAACCCTCCTAACTGACACATGGCATCTCCCAGTATCCACCGTCCTTTGAAAGCGATGGCGATGAAGCCCATCGGCATGGTGTACAGACCCGTCATGAGATTAGCAAACGCCAAACTGAAATAATTTGATTTTTGTTATGCTTCCAGGTGTTTGATCCAGCTGTAAAATATTTATATTACAATAAATCATGGTCTTGGGGGAAATTATTATAAAAATACTTTAAAGGAAGATATGAAAATACAAAGAATTAACTAATTAACAAACCTAATATAATTAACAAACCTGCCGATGAAGAGATTTGAAGTAGTCCTGAGTTTGGGCTGAGTGTACATTGCAAAGAGGAGGGCTATGTTTCCAAAGACAGCCAGGATTATGAGAACTGATATCAAGAAAAGTACCAGCACCTGGCCTGCCAGACTGAGGAACGCTGACTCTTCGCTGCTCCCCATGTTTACCTATAAAATAGAGTTTTGCTTTGGTTTATTTACAGAAGCTGAAGAAACTCATGATATTTTCTAGAATTCTGGGTCAAAATTTGGTACCTATGTATATAATTGTGGTGATGTACGGCATAAAATATACTTTTATTTCCAGAGAAAGTTTCTAGTTAAACGATAACATCAAAGTGTTAAACATATGATCTTCAAAAATTGCTATGCTACCAGATTTACAAATTCAACATATTTATGTGACCAAAATTATGTCCATAAATCGCATAATTTTAACGTCAAACTAATTATGAGATCCTTAAAACTTGACGCCAGATATTGGGTTATTAAATCTTCGGCTCCTTCCCTTGGCTACGCCCCTACAAAAAAAAACAGGATCATTTAAACAATTGTCTATGCAATTGTCGACTAGAACTAGAACACAATGACAACTCCAACACCAAGCGAAGGTTACTGCCGTCCCCAATCATGGGAAGATAACTGAATACAGATGGCCGGTAACCGGTCTAATAAGAAAAGGAGAAAGTGGTGGGCTCTATGATTTAGTGGGAGTGACAGCCAGCTGGTGGGTACTAGTCAGCTGCCGGCCTGTTAGTTCCACGTTTCAATGAAACTAACCGTGGTATCAAGCTACTAGGACCAGACCACCAGACCATCATTATAGCTCTTATATATTAAAGTCACTATTGTGACGGTACATTAGAACTAGACAGAAACAAAGTGTGAACGGCCTGAACGGAACCCCTCGGTTTCTGCAGTTCCTTGTTTAACACTGCCGTACAGCAAGGACATCCACCGGGTTCTCCAAGGATGGGCACATAGCTCACTCCACACTATGCTCTGTCAATGAAGCATAATTTATGCCGCATAATCTAATAAATTAATAGTATCAGTTGGAGGAGGTGCTTACAATAATAACCACTTGCGAAGTGCCAATTTAACAAGCTTATTAATCACATTTAATGACCTATCCAGTAGTGGCTGTGACATGATTGCATTGATTTCATCTGACGTTCAAGATATTAAAAATACTTTTCTCGTCATAATATTATAGTATTATGCATGCTCGCATGATGCAATAACATTTCTTCCAGAATGATACAGATCAAACGTACTCAACTTCAGATTTGATAATGACAATACTGTTGTAATATTTCTGTCGAAACAATTTGATTCAATAAACCGTTGAAGAGGTTGAAACTGACAATGTCAAACAATTGCTCGAAAGATCGGGCAGGCACTTTATTTTTGCAGAGAGTATTTATAAATTATTCACGACAACCACACGGTGGACACATCATTCTTATCTCTATAAAAGCAAAGCTCATAAGAATCTAACATCTTTGAGGAAGAAACTCATGAGATTGAGATGAGATTGCTACGAAGTACAACACTTAACCTCCTGACTCCTCACTGAATACTTTAATCTATTTAGTCCTCAAGATCGCGACCCACGAGCACAAATCTTTCACAGAAAGTTAAACAAAAACAACTTTATCACAAACACAACCACATCCCGCTCCAGCACTTCATATTGCTCTTCATGTGACTCGTTCAAACGCCTCTTCACTGGACCAGACCGACAATCCAATCTGGTCCATTTGTACGACTTGATTAATTTAAAATCTTCGTAAACCACAACAGGCCGAATCATAAGAAAACTAATTTAGTCGATAAAAACACGTCATATACGTGCTTTGTGGGCAAATCACTGCACATATTATTTCCTGTGAATAAAAAGCCTCTACAAAATGTATGAAAGAAATGCAGAGAAAGAACTTTAAAGTGCTGCCTGCATTATATAAGCATTAATCCAGTGTCCCGGCGAAGGGCGGATAATGGGACATTAAAATGTGGTTTGTGTAATAGTTTCGGTCTGTCCAGGTATGATTAATCAGTCCTTGCTCCCGAAAGCCTTTCAGTCAATCCCCGGACCTGCTTCTCAAAAAGTCTATTGTCCGAAAGTATAAGCACACCATGTAGACTGTGGAGGGACGTGTGCAAACTTAATACCGGGCACTATTACTTTTCATTGAAAAGCAATGGTGCCCGGCCTCTCTTGCTTTTCAAGCCAGGCTTCCTCTCGTCATGAGGACGGAAACTTTAGGGCTAGAAAACTTGAGAATGTAAACTGCAAAGTAGCAATCGCAGGAAATACTAGGACCACATTTTGAGGGGGTTTTAATTCCGGAACCCTTAACGTACCTATAACAAGTCTGTTAAACAAACCAATAAAATTAGTTTTGTCCACCTTCAAATGAAATCTCCTGGTGAAAAAATAATTAGGGTGTTTGTACTTTGTCCTTTTAAATCAGACAAAAATTGCTGCAATTTATGAGTCAAAACGCTATTTCCGTGAACGGAAAAATTCATGACAAATTCAATAGCTTTCAACACAAATCAACGAATGACTAAGAGTAGAACCTTGACACTGTGTTAGTCAAGTCTGTGTTGATTAATTTATTGCGATAATCTAACTAACTTTGTGAGCAGATGTGTTTTTAAAATAACACATCTGCTCATAAAGTTAGTTAGATAATTGCAGTAAATGAATCAACATTATAATGCGATCATATTCGTAATTCATGTACTTTCTCGGATTTAATCATGCTAAAAGATTCTTCTTTTAATGTTCGAAGTTTGAACAATTCAAATTGTGAGGTTCTAAAGATCTTAGAAGGTCTATATCTGTAGTACATAGGGATGAGACAAGAAAAAAACTGTTCAAGTTTTGAGGGTTTATCAGTACGAATGCGCTTTGCATTCGGTTGCTTATCAATATCATACGAGTCATCGTTTCAATGATATCAAAAACTGCAGGTTATATAAAGGTTATATAGGTTATAAAGGTTATAAAGGCCAACTGATAAAGATTTGATGATCGAACAGGGTCTCGACCACATGTTATAAGGCTATTTGATCAGCTGTATAATAACAAGTGTCTGGGGTAACGATCGTAAAAGCTGGCCAATATGATAAGATTACGTGATTGAGCGTGATTCTGGAGTGGTCTCAAATAATATCTCTTGCTGTAGTCTGTAGTGTTATAACATTATTATAACTTTATAAGCATATTTTGCATAGAGTCGCCACCTAATTTCTGTACAACTGCTCAATGCTCTTTAAGTAATCATTGCATTCATAGTGGATGGAGGACAAGATTATCTTAGATGAGTATAGTCATAGATATTAGATAGGGCCCAATAAGACGGCAGTTTAATTAATGCTCAATGAATTGCATTGCTAAAGTCTTTATATTAATAGGGCAAGAGCAAAACACAAAGTTGAATATAAAGTTGGGAGTTAGGACTTTAGGACCAGTATTTGGACTCAAATTGTACTTTTATTTTTAATCTTTCAGACGTTTTTTTTGGTTTACAAAAATTGAATTGATTAAAACTCCTAGAAGCGCAATAAATTTGATAAAATGCCCTCTTCCTGTTTATTTTAGCCGTATACTTAAATCCAAGTTGGATCTCAGTTAAGATACGAAGAACTAATTTGTATGTGTCAAGACAATATTCAATAAAATCAAATCACTCTTATAACCTTGTGTGGGTCGTCATTACCGTCCTCACATAATCATACCCTACTCCTTGATGTAATAAAAAAAATTGTTTGGTTACCGTTAATGGATTGTATTCGCCCAAACTGCCATTTGATGTATAAAATCAATTAGATAGTAAACAAATCAGTCGTTTTACTCGAAAGAGAAGCCATACACCAAGCTCTAACAGGTCTAATTTGTAACACGTACACGGCACAATTTGTACATGCGCTAAAATGCGTTAAAATGCACTGATATGCAAAATTACAGCTTTACTGTTCATTATAGCAGATGCTTATTTAGAGACGTAATATAATAAACCACATATTGTAGCTTGATATCAATCGTTTTCAATCTACAAGTATTCATCAGTAATATTTGTTGGTAAAATGTCGCACTGGTCACGAAGTTGATTATGTAAACCACAAAAAAAAGTAGTTATATTTATAGTTACATTAGTGATCACATATTAAATAAGCCAGCATGATCCTTTACCCAATTAGTCATTTCGAAATGTGCCACAATTCGAAATGAACGACATCTCCGAATGGACCACAATTCAAATCAGAAAGTACTTAAACCGTTTTGATTTAACTAATTTTTCACAGCGACCCTTACGTAAGAGTCATGATGTGCTAGTGTCACGTCAGAAACAGCTCATACACTAAAAGTAAGTGAGTATCCTATAATTGTAAATATCTCGTTATTAGAAATAAAGTCATAAATTACATAACCAAGTAATTAATTACCTACATAATTAGGTAATTCGCAGTTCATAAGGCACCTTTTGTGCAGTATTGTTAATTGCGTAATAATAATTGCTGCGTGTGCTGCTGAGGTCTGCTTAGATGATATCGTAAGAGGTCAGTTAACTAATTAATTTGTAATGACGTTAATTATATAATGACTGTAATTAAAGAAGGTAATGGCTTGTTCTCCCACCTGTAATTATAATTAATGACACAATGTTTTTACGCAGGAATAAGCTCACAACCGCTGACTTGACAACTGATGTAACTTTATAAACGTCGGTGTTAACAGCTATGTGTGTATGTTTATGATAGGAGTGACAATTAACTGGTTATAATTGGGACGACAATGAACTGACAATTAAAGTGTTAATTAATCATCATCTTACCTGAAGGATTGGAATTTTATAGCTGACACATGACAAGGTTGTATTATAAGATAAGCAACTTCTTGCGTCCTGCAAGCAGCTGTGATCAGGGCTCAGAATCACAGAATGTAAAAAAATCAATTTATAGTGCGTTAGATTAAACCTTAGCCTACTTGGTCAGGTTTAGTAATTGTGCGAGCGATGGAATAATCAGCAGTCAGAAAAAAGATTTAAAGCGCTTTTAGATTTAACCTTGGTAAGGGATCTCAGGCTAAGTAACTTAAAAACCGATCGAATTATATAATATATGTCGGAAAGAGGAACTGGCGCCGTCCAGTAAATTAAAGCTCTGCCTATTCGGCTTTAAGTTTAAGTCACTTTAGGCACTGGATTTAAAGAGACAGATGACCTAATTATAATTTCACCTAGTCTCCAGCCAATTAAGCCTTCAGACATCGGAGGACACTCCAAGTTTGAGTTGACTCTGTCCAATCAGGAAGGAAGATTAAACCGTTGGTTTGCTGCTGACGCGTAAGATAGTGCAGCTTGAGGGATTCGCGCCCCTAAACTTGAAACCAACGAAATTACCACATAAATTTGTTGTTAAACTTCTGTTATTCTTCATATGCGCATAAATAACAATATCATTTAATAATAATAATAAGCGCTATAAAGTACAGCTAAATCGTTATTATCGTACAGCCAGGGACCTTTAGGAGATGTCGGTCTTGTGGTTAACTGAACGTCTAAGTTGGGCCATTTTGTTCTCGTGTCATTTTAGTGGCACGTCTTCCTGACCGTGTAGCTCTAGCTACAGATCCTTCCTGCTCATATCGCTTCACAATCCGGTAGATAGTAGTCTTAGTCATACGTTGTGCTATAAAATTATGGCTGTGAAGCTTCGCCAGTCGTCACGTTGGCTTTTCCAAATTTCAATAAACTGTACAAGCCGCTTCAGTGGCTACTGTGAGAAATAAATTTATCTGTGCCTACTGCAAGAGGCTTCTGAGTGTTTAACATTGACTATTTTTGTTCAAAATTGTCCAAATTTTAACACTGTTTCATTAATTTTGACCACAAATGAATTGATCGACCCGATAAAAGGATTTGAAAAAAGTTCATTTTTTTCATTACCCGTTAAAGGAGGTGTTACATATTTAAAATAAAACCAATTTATTGGAATCTTGATTCTTGAGGAAGTTCATCGATAGCGATAGAATTTAATTTTGATGCCGAGGTGTCTTTATAAGGCTTTATAAGTAATTCATTTTGATTGATGACGTTAAATCAAAGCTCAGAACCACTGACACTTGTCAAACTTAATTTGATTTACCTCGTAACCAATGTTCAAATAGATATCGGCTACAACTCAATGTCAGAAATATTATATGCATATTTAAACATAATGTCTTGCCAATATCAAGCAATTAAATTAGCAACCGCGTGTTAAGGAAAATCAGGGCAACTTATAAAGGTCTCTCAGTATGGAAAATGTTAGTAAACTAAATTGCAGTCGAAAGCTAATGAACGCAATATTTTGTATTTGCTCCTTTCCTATTTTATTTCATTACCAGAACAACACACACAGTTATAATTTATAATCAAACGATTTTTAGGAAGTAAAACCATGGTAACAGTAATACCTGAGTAGAAATAACTATGAATATGAGCCATAAGCTGAGATATTGTAAAACGGTATGTTAATACTAATAGTCTCGGCCAAATCCTCTTTATAGGTGCCAGACTGATATCCTGCAATAATTTGAACCACTTTCTCCGCTCCCAACTTTAATTTTTTGAAAGATATACTATAATCTGGATATTTCGATTGTAAATTCCACATTTCATTAATTGTTGTTAAAATTTATATTTTACGGTGCGTTGACTTTGATATTTCAAAGTTTGTTTGATCAAGAGATTTCAGCAGTAATTTGACTAATTTAGAAGGAAATTTTAACTACTAAAAGAGAAAGCTCATGAGGCAACTAATTTTATTTCCGCATTATTTGTCCTCACGAAATTGAAGCAGAAAACAAGGTTAATCGTTTGCTTAAACACTTTGTCCCCTGAATCTCTATTAATATCAAGATCTTGGACGCTACCAGTGGCGTAACAAAGGGCCAGCACGCCCAGCAGACCCCGCTATGGTAACGTTACGCCACTGCAGACAGTACAAATAATAAACTGCCAGTGCCATCACTGATCTGCCATCAATAATATATCATAAACATAAATATGTTCATTATGAGATCACTTATCGGTCTGTTAAACATGTGACAACAAGTTATCAATGCTTTATCATAAGCTAAGCTGAGGACATTATGATATAATGCACTTTCATTTGTCATTATTGATAAGAGTTGATGATAGTGGAGCTATGACAATGGATTTAGTACAGCTGTATTGGTAAATGGTACGTGCTTCTTGGACAACTGATCGTGCATATTAAAGATATAGACTATATAGCACGGGGCATGCGGGATATTGTAAAGTTGTACCTAATTTACTGGGCCGCGCTCAGCCTGTCATTCCGCCGAATCTCTATTCGAACATAATAGCCTGAGGTCCTCAGGTAATACCTAATGTGCTTTATTACAAGTTATAACGGAGGCTCTTAAGCTAGTAATTGGTGAACCTTTCAGTAGAGTATCAGCTCCATCTGTGGAGTGGGGTCGTGGTGACATGACCACTTAGCGTGACGGGGTTAGATATGTGGCATAACTTATACATGATAATATTTGTAATCATATTAAGTTTTCATATTATTGTGTAGATTTGGAAACAAAATATACTTTGTTAAAAGTTCATACCGGATGAGCAGATCAGATGAGAGAAAATTGTCCTGCCAGAGCTTTCTGTCCGGTTTAGTTCATTTCATTATCCTGGAATAGTGAAATAATCAATAAATTGTGTGACTTAGAAAGAACAATCCTTTTTTAAATTTAAAAGTAAGTAATTCACATAAATTTTAGTGTTCCTCACATTTTTTAGATTTGAATGTTTACTTATCTTAAAATGATTACAAAATCAGGAAAACGATGATATATTTTATAAAATAAGTTATAATCATTATGATAAATAAATTAACATTAAAGATATCAAAACCATTAAAAGCATTAAAAGCACAGCGAATTAAACAAATGAACAAAGCAAACCCGAATAAAAGTTAAAAACTCAAAAACATATTAACTCAAAATATACTAATAGCAATAAAGAACAAATATAGCAAAGTTGAAAGTTCCTCCTCAATAACAACATAACCTACAAACCTAAACCCTCATTTTTAGTCCAAACTTAACCTCAAACTAAACCGAACTGAACCTCGGGATAAACAGAAATCTGGGACATGAAGTCGACTAGTTACAGGACCAGCAGCAACAATAAATATAGCAGCACAAAGCAAAATGTTTAATTATATGAAATGAAATTAACAACATAAAAATAAATATAATTAAATTTAGCCAGTTAAAAAGCATGGTATGAATAACATGGTTGCGTTCACAATTTCATTAACAAGCCATGCAATCTTCCCCTTATAAAATGACGGACATAAGAAGTCGTGAACCATATATCTCTGCGACGGTATAGTGTGCTTGTACAGTGATAAGGTATTAACCCAAGCCCATAACTGTCAGCAAAAGCAAAGCAATTCAAGTGCTTTGAGTGCTCCTGATGATAAAGCTAACTTTCTTATCATCAGATCTAAAATTATAAAGGATCAAGAACGATATTGTAGGACGCCAATGCAATTAGTGTATAATCGCACGGATAGTCATGGAACTGTGGAGTGATAGCAAGAAGATGAAATGAAGTGATAAACATTAAAGTGGGTCAGCCTACAAAAACTGTGCCCCAATCAAGCTATACCTCCCTCTATTTTTATATTCAACAAGGTACGATGCACAATCCCATCACTTGTCGAGCGATCAGTGGCAGGGGTCTTGTTTGTCACTAATCAAATAATAAAGCAGAAATATTTTCCCATGCCCTCCCTTGTCGAGCTTCTTTCACCTAAAATAAACTAATAAGACAAAAAAGTGCAGTGATTGTATTGAATTTGGCAAATGAATTATGAGGATCGAGCTTATAAACCTAACAAAATGAGCCTATATGACATGTGTATCACGGCTGACATTTCTCTGCTTAAGGGTTTAATACAACCCGCTGATTAATGTCATGAGATTAAACGTTGTGCAATTTTCAGAACTAAATATTATGGTAACGGTAAGCTGAGAAATATCTTATCACCATGATTTCAAATAATCTTCCGACAGCATCATACTACTGGAAGAAAAAATTATGAGACATTATTATTTGTCATAGCGGTTACAACACACTGAGTGAGCCATGAGCAGCTCTCACAAGAAAGAAGCTTTTTTTATACGATCAGCGCCTATAAGGAAATGTTTAGGCGTTAACACCAGCCCTTTGCAGCATATAAAATATAAAGAACAATCAATTAATTAGATAAAAGTTCGCCATGGGTGAACGGCTCAGCACATGTTTGGCAAATGTTTACTGAAAGCACGTGGACGCGAGAAGCTAAGATCAGCCCCTGCGATCCCTTGTTTAAAATATCAAAGTCAGCTACACGATCAAGTCTCATTCTTACATCTCTGAATCCTGCTGTTTAAACCCAGTTCTCTGTGATCTGCTTTTACCTGTGGTAAGTGCAAGTTTTGATGTGCCAATCATTGATTATGTTGGGTTCGCTCCGGTAATGTACAGGGACTGTGTGAGTGTTTGTGTACAGATCCCCTCCAGCAAAAGAGTGCCGCCGTGGGTTCTTCCCGTCTGATAACTCGGGGGTTGCACAGCACATGGTGATGGCATTGGGCATGGAACACCGGGGCTCTCGGTTCAGTCTCCTGTTGTACCTCCTTAGTAGCTTCAGAGAGTAGCTAAAGTTGGATTCTCGTCTACACAATTCTACCGGGAACTCTACCTGGCCAGCTGCACTGTTGTTGAAAGACTGTTTCGGGGTTCCTTGGATGGACTTCATGGACATCATGGCTCTACGGAGGACGGAGTATTTCTCTCGGAGCAGCAGGCTGAGGAACATCTGTTTGTAAACTGACCTGAAGTGCTTGTTGAACCAGCCATAGAGTATGGGATTAAAAGCACTGTTCCCCAGCAGAGACCATATCACAGCTTTACTTGTTTGGTGACCGAAGGGGATAGACTTCTCAAACCAAAAAAACATTCCAAAGATGAAGGTAGGGAGGATGCATGCCAGCACGAAGATAATAAGCAGGAGAGTGATCTTGGCAGTGCGGATGTTGGAGACAAGGACCAGGGGTTTACATGAGGTACCAGCCTTGCCGGGCAGGACAATCCCACTCATGCTCCTGTTTACAGAATATCTGAAGATCATGAAGTAGCATATGATGATCATTCCCATTGGGATAGGGAAACTGACCATGACATAGAAGAGGAAGTAATACTTATCCACACTGTTGAACCCCCTAACAGACGTCATGGCACAGGACATGCTGTGTTCGGAGAAGGAGTAATCACTCCAACCAAACAGAGGCAACACTGCACAAGCAAAGGACAGACACCAACAGAATATTACCGTTTTGGTTGCTTTAGATCTAGTCATATTGTTTCTATGGCTGATAGGAGATTGAACCAAGAGGAAGCGATCGAGAGCAGTGAACCCAAGAGTCCACATGGAAGCAGTGATCATGACAGAATCTACCACTCCGATCAGCTTGCAGACAGAGTCATTGAACACCCAGACTCTATTGTAGACAGTAAGAGCCACCATGGGCAGGGTGATAACACCCACACCAAAGTCACTGCAACCCAGGGAGATTATAAAGATGTTGCTGGCCGTCTGGAGGCTGGTCTCCAGGAAGATGGCGAGGAACTGGGCTAAGTTCCCCGCGATGGCAAAGAATGCCAGCAGTATTAGAATGAGCAGCATGAGCGATCTTTCTCTGTCGCTGTAACCCAGAATGGTGGATGTAGTCACGTTTATCTCAGACATACTATACTGTAATAATGAGAGATTTTTACAAATATAACTATAAGTTAATAGTTATATTCAATGCGATTTAATCTTAAACATAATGATTGAAAAATGAAACAATTTGGCACGATTTAATGTCAAAGTTATTGCGCAACCACTGGATGCACCAAAGGTCGAAACTGACAAGACATTAAGGTATATAATAGCAAAATCTTGTGCGTTATAAAGATCAAATTCACAGCTGACGCTTCATAACCTTCACTGCATACTTACCACCTGACCAATAATATGAATCAAATTTAGAGGATCTTGACTTTCATAATTTTGTGACATTTTTATAGCTTTATAGCTAGTAATAATATTATCATATCATGTTGCTTGTTGGCGGTGAATTAACGGGTTTTGCCCGCACAATATAATATCTATTTTGTATTTGAAATATTAACATAATATTAACTTATTAACATAATATTAACAACGTCGATGAGTTGCGAATAATGTAAAATAACCAGACTCGATTACCAAGTACCAACTGCAGAAATTCCAATTCGAGTAAAGACCACAAAGATTATCAATGCCGAAAGTGCAAAAAGTTCTTTACGTCTCCTGCTGCAGAGGTCGATCAGCAGCAGCTATGATTTGATCTGCTGAGTACCACCAAACTGCATGATTCAATTTCTGCAGATTTGGAAATGGTAGATGGTAGATCGACCAGTTTACTATAATTAAATTTACTGAGTACCCTCAAATAATTACATGCAAGATTTATAGAATTATAATTTTATCGGTATTCGGCTCGGCTTGATTATAAAGTCAACTGTCATCAAGATTAAAAGGTGTCAATACGAGATTGTCAGCTTTTGCAGCTTTATACTTTTATAGACTATCTGTCCAGCACCTCCATATTCAATTTAGATCGATATCCGAATAATTTGCTCTGACGATTGATGCACCACCGTCTAAAACTCATTTGTGAATAATAAATTCTATCTGCAATCAGCTAACATAGAACATAATGTGTCATGTGGAACTGACAACTAATATGATCGAACCGCCTTGGAAACATCATGTTGATCATGATAGTATTAAATTTGAACGTCTGCTGTATATTCTTATATTGCACCGAAACGTTCATATTTTAAATGCTTTTGGAACTTTACCTCGCTGCAGAAAAAAACTGTTGCAAAGTAATAATGGTAACCATGGTAGCTGTTTAAAAGCTCCTCTATTGCAGAAGATGGAGAAGAAGTTTATTATGCAAAACACCATTTCCTTGCGCTATAAAACAGTTCAGCTAGTTTAAACGCTTTTTAAAACTCAACTAAAATAGAAACTCCTTGTCCGCTGGAATTTAGCACTACATTGACCCAAAAAGTATAACACCTGTAGTTCAAGCTTTGTTGAATACTTCCTAAAATTGAAGAACAGGTCATTATTAACATGAAAACTAAACAGTGCAGTTCAAAACTATAAGAATCGTGACAATTCTGAGTAAAACTGTATATTGGTATTTGGTTAAAGTAAAGTGTCGACGAAAAAAGCTATCGGCTTCACACTAGACTGAGACAAGTACAGCCAGTCCTTCCACAGCAAATGTTACCGCAGACAATGATTTTGGAGCTGATGATATTGTAAAATGTAAATATACTCTGTTAGAATATTGATTAATTTGTTGTATTTTATAACGGAAGCTAAGACTAATAATTGTTCTTATAGGCTTATAGTAGTAAAATTGTTCCTTTTCAATTAGCTGAGTAAAAATTTAATTAAGTTTGACCTGATTGCCACAGAACGATTTAATTATTTCCTAGAATTGGTTTGAAGACAATAACCAACCTAAAAAGACTGATGGATGAAAAATTACTCGAACAAGAGCTGTCCATAAAAGGGTCTCTAAAGCTACGGACAAATATATTATGACCACAGTTATTGAACAATGGTGGCGGACCGAATCCCTACCACTTACTTAAAGTTAGCCCTTGCCCCAACTCTAGCCCCATCCCTCTTAACCTCTAATCATATTCCTATTGTTAGGTAGTTATTGAGTCCGCTTACCATTGAACAATCAGATAATTCCTGTGAGTGTTATGAAGGAAATATATCACAAGAAGTATAATATGCTCATATATGTATAAGCATTCATCGGCCGATTGGGGTTGGAGGGTATAATTGGTTAAAAGAACGCTCAAACATTACCATATTTGGTCAAGAAAAGCAACTTTGCGATTCAGGAAGAAAAAAATAACAGAAATTTAATGAGACACAATTTTTTTCTACTTTTAGTACTTTTAAATCACTTTATGTAGCAATACTAGAAGCGAAAAACTTTGTGTCTCATTAAACCCAAACTGTTCCTTTTAAAAACTGAACAGTTTGGGTCAAAAAACTTAATGTGGTTCATGTTGATATACAGCTGGAACACAGTTACAGAACGGTTGGAGCACTGCAGTACCGAATATCAGTTCAGGAAAAGGCCACGGTTGAAGCACAGTTGGTTATAACTTTATACTTCTACAGTTAGAGCAAAATAACTTAACACTTCAGGGGAATCCCTCCCCAAAGGAGAGATAGCGATTTTTGTATTTCACCGGATAACTATTTAGATTATAACACGGATTGTGATTCTTCATTTTGTGCCCGACTGCGCCTAACCGTTCCCCAGGCACAACCGTGACCCAACCCTATATCGCCAGATAACCCGATTAACCCGATTACGTTTATCATTATGGATGATCTAAATATGGAGTAATAAAAAATGGTGACGAAGTAAAATCTTTAGAGAATTAAATATTAATAGGCCCACAATTTGACAAAGATGCACGTATTTGTATAAAAAAGTCGAGCTGAGCTCGCTCCAGAAATTAAAAACAGCTGCAGTACCATCTGTTGTGATAGCGAAGTGCGAACGTGTTACAGTGGTAAAGATCACCACCGAGTCTCACAGCAACATAGCTAGTGTCACAGTTACAGGTCCAAACACACGGCCGATATTGTGTGGTGTTACTGTAACTTTAGAGCAAGGGTACGTTAATTCAATACCTGATTTACCATGTAGATTGTAGAATATTCTGAGGCCGGATGTGTTTGTGCTACAATCCCGTTATAAAGGTATGTATAATGATCGATATGAGCATGCAACAAATTGTTGCATTTACCACAATTTTCCTAAGTGTCCTAACTTTATCAGCATGGGATCTGCCTATAATACCGGTATAAAACGTTTTGGAAGGAAAACGTTGAGACTGGATAGTTAGACTACAGTTCTCTGTTTGAAATATGTAGCTTTTAAAAATGATATCCCGAATCAAATGGATAATAAAACAATATTAATAATAAAACAAACAATGTCCAACTCTTACAATCGTGTCTGTACGAGCTGCTGTTGGTAAACTGCAGTTATAAAATGAGATTATAGCGATCTCTGAGCCGGGGTGGCTGCTATTATACTTCAGGGGGTTGTCGTATTTTAACCACTAAGATAGAGTTTAGTGTCACATATGGTCACCCAGCCCGGTACCTCCCATTAGCTGGTCATGATGGAGGAACTATAAACTGCGTTCTGCAAACGTTACTGTGCCTATGGATTGCTTAATTCTTTCTTTAAACCCATTTGCATTTATAAATAGAATTGTAAATGAGCGGAGATGGTCGGCGGCGTGGACAGAAGACATGCGTATCTTGTAACCATGGTAACCACGGTAACGACAGGTATCTTGTAACGACGAGTCATCTATTTTATAATAGCCATGGTACTGTCCTGGTAACAGATGTGCTAATTTTATAAATGGAAATGATAAGCTCGGTCGCGTTTAATGAACAGCTGTCATTTTGGCGACGGTAAGGTGATGAGAAAGTCAAAAATCTTTTATAGTGAGATTTCTTGTAAAATTTGTACTATAAAGCTATAAGTCATGACAGTTAATCCAGCGCGAATATCTTTTGAGTATAGCCTTCAGACTTTGCGAATGAGCTGAATCTACCTATTTGAAATTTAAAAGTGTTCTAGCAAAATTAGTAGCCCTTAACTTTTGGCAGCCTTGCAAAGTAATTTTTCTGAAAAGTAGCGAACAAATTCTTTTTTCTCTTATCTGAATAGAATTTCAGCTTAAGTATGGATAGGGAATAGTGGTGCGGCTTATTAAATAGCATATCTGAAACGATTAAATAAATATATAAGTAAATGCCGAAAAATAGCTAGGGGCGGCATTTCAACAAAAATTTGTCGGAAATTTTGGGAGTGGTCGGTTTGGCACTGCAAATGGTGCAATTGATTATATGGTTATATGGATTATGCATTAGGCAACCGTGGACAAATTGCGGAGACATGTCTGATAATGTCAAGGTTAAACTGTTGAAAAAACCAACGAACACAAGAAATCCAGCAGCTATCAACCATGTAAGCTGAGAATTGACGAAGTATTGATTTTGTCAAGTGTTAAGTGGTAGGTGAAATATTCGCAAATAATATTGGCATATTGCGTTACTTCTCACAAAGTGGTTGCATGTGTACACACGTGAGCTTGCATAGAATTTAATTTCATCAAATTACAAGTAATGCCCTGACAGGATCGAATCAAATAATTATACTGTCGGGGACATATGTCATCGGAATTTCGTGATTGCAACTATCCGTTAGCAGTTTCTACCATTTATCCGGTATCATGATCTTGTCACATGTTCACATGAGCTTGAATCTGTATCTTTATCTTTAGTGTCAGCGGGAGAAGAAGTCACCCTTCAGACCTGCCCTGACACATCCCCTGATCTAAGTGAATCATATTAAATAAGCTGACTAGACTGAGACAAGGTTCAGAGATAGGTTCAGAGATAGGTTCAGGGTTGAGGATTTTTGCAGCGGTTATTAGCGGTTATTTGTGATCATGAAAGTGACCAGCCTTGGTTGACAAGGGATTTAAAAAGGATTTTCCCAAAACCAGCAGCTGTGGTTATTTGTGATAATCTAAGTTCAGGATAAATAACCATTATAACTACAGCAGCGGTTATTTGCGATTATTTAAATTCAGGATAAATATCCAGCCGATGCGCAATGGTGACAAGCAATTTACCAAAAGAGGACTGAATATTATTGTAACTGGCAGAATGTCATATTTGGCACGAAATCTTCAGACATCGTTCATTTTCCAATTTTAAGAACTGGACTGATTGTGACTTCAGCTATAGGAGCATTTCGTTGAACATTTGCAACCGTCAAATTGTGAAAAAAAAATGCGAAATTCGAACGACGGATATCGCTCTATTTTATTTTATTTGCTAATCGAATACAAAATAATCTATTATATATATTAAGTTATATCAAGATAAGTTCTCAACTCAGAAAGAAACCTTGAACGAAGACCTCCCAAGGACAACACACTG